GTCATCAGCTTCGAGTGGCAAACTTTGACATAACTACTTTCAGATAGTTAATTGTAGAATATCGTACTCAAGTAGATCTCCTGTAAGGTGTCTGGTTTAGAGTGTTTTAATAAAAACAAGTCAGGGCAGTGGAGGAGACGGGACACACAACATGCAGCAATGATGAGACTGGCACTGCAGTTGTGATTTTGGAAGTACAAGTAGAGGAAATCTCTAACCTTGTGCTTAAATAAAGGTCAAATAAATGGCTTACCTAAGAAATGGCTTCAGGTGAATGCCTTCGAAATAGATAATGACTCAGTAATCCTGACCTTCTTCCTTGCTATTTGTCTCAAAATGACATTTTGAATAACAGAAAAATATTATTCTAAGTAGTAATCAAAGAGAGGATTTTCATAACATTTTTTCACAAACTTTTCTTTTTTCTGTCCCAGTAAGAAATAATCTTCCTGTATTGTTCTCAAATGAAAACATAGAGCCAGGTGTTGTGTCTCAAAAAAATTCACATTGTTTTCTTTCTCTTGGATAATACTAAAATGAAGGAAAACACCACAATATATGTTTTCCCTAGTGTTACTTGGTAGCATTGGAGTACCTGTATTGCAGACCTGAGGAGATTCCATGAAAGCAGCAGCAACATGAGAGGGTGCTTCCCTTAAACTCAACTTTACCAAAATATTTGACTTAAGTGCACTGGTTCCAAAACTAGTTATTAGCCCGTTACTTTTTTCATGCATGGGTTATGTTTGTAAAGGAGCTTCTGTTCAGTGAGAAGTTTTTTTCTGTATTTAAAACTAACACTAACTTCAAGGTCTTGAACGACTACACGGAGGCTTCAGAGCCATTTCCAGCGTACCTGACGCGCTAGCTCAGACTGACTTTCGCACCGTCCTGCCGGCTGGTGCAGACAGGGTCCCCAGGGCAGCGTGCACCGACGCCCCGCAGCCCTGACGCCCCGGAACTCGTGCCACCCGCAGCCTCTCCTCCACTTGACATTTTGCGTGTCGTCTCTGGGAAGTAAACCCTTACCTAGGCATCCTTTCTGTTGTTAACATTTATTAATGCATTTCTTAGGAGATTAGGAAACTTGTATCTTCAGTTACATCAGTTAGTTGGTTTTTTAAGTGTGTATAAAAGAAAAACCTCGATTTGGGGGTATATGTGCTCATTTCCTACTCGGTCTTCAATTAAAACACAGGAGGGTGGGAGCAGTGACTTCACAGAACACCCAAGATAATTTCTAATGTCTTTTGTTAAACCATTATATTTAGAAGAACTATTGTTTTCCCCATCAAAATTTTCAGTCAATTTTTTTCTATTTCAATAGAAAGTTTGTTTCTTTACAATTTTATCAGTAATTCAAGGTTTGTGATGTTTATGATTCTTAAAAATTTATCATTAAATCTAAAATGTTTAATTTAAACCCCCCACTTTTTAGTTATAAGGTAACAGGAGAATTTGTAGATGAGAGCTCAGAAAATGCTGGATTACCACCTGGGGCAATCCTAGAGATGCAGGACATGTCTCCTTAAAAATAAATTAGTTGTTCACAGAAATAAGATGTTGCATTTTTAACAGGCAGTTTTTTGAGGGAGCTCTTTTACACCACAGCAAGATTTCCTATTAAGTGTAGAATAGGCTTCCAGAGTGCTCTAGGATCTGTCCTCTGTAAGTGCCAACTCGCTGGCTCCCAGGGCATGCAGAGTGGGAGGAAATTAAAATAGGAAATCAGAGGGTCAGGCTCACAATTAACAGCGTGTCAAAAGGCTCTCGGGCTGGCTAAACCCGTGTCAGTGCTGCAGCAGTTCATTAGGGCTTTCCAGAAGTCGTGCAGGACTCGGTAGAGAAGCTAATGGCTTTCCCTTGGTTCCTGGGAGTGAGTCTGGGCAGCCGTGCGGTGGGGGTGGTTACACTGGGTTTGGGGTGAAGTCAGCCCGACGGCCGGGCTCACAGCGCACGTTCAGTTGCGGCTGTTGTCACCCGGCGCTCTGCGCGCAGTGTTTGTGCACGGGCAAGCTTTCCCGTGGCATCGCTGCAAGCTGGGGTCTCTGTTTAGGCTGGAAGCCACAAGGGGGGCTGGAATGGGAGAGCAAATCCCGCAGGCTGGAATGGGAGAGCAAATCCCGCAGGCCGGAGCAGACGAGACTTGCCACGTGCGCTTGGGTTCCAATGCCTGGGGGAGATGGGTGTAGGGCAGCCAGGCACCGTGAAGGTGGTGCCAAGAGCGCCGACGCCCGGCAAAGGGACAGCAAACGCGGAAGAAACTCATGGAGAGCCATTGGGTTTTGTCGCGGGCCCTGCCGTACCGGAACCGGAGCACGAGGCAGGGCTGCCCTTCGGAGCCCTGGGCCTTCCTGGCTCTCCCACCTTTCCCGTATGATGGTTTAACAGCAACTGTAATTTTGGGGCCTGTTTCTGCTGTTGGCTGTGGAGTGAACCTGCCGAATGTGTGCAGCTTGCCTT